TTGGTCTTTTTGAGACAGGGTCTCCTTGTAGCTCCAGCTGTCCTGGAACTCACTATGTAGACCAGGCTGGCCACCTTGAACTCACAGAGATCTGCCTGCCTCTCCCTCCCGAGTGCTGGGATTAAAGGCGTGCACCACCACGCTTGGCTAGATGCCATTACTTTTTGAATCAACCATAGAACTTAATTCCATTTCTTTATAGCTTGGGACTTACTTCTTCTTATCGAAAGCAAAATTTCCACTTGAATATGACTTCCCCTCATACAGTCAACTGAGCTCATTCCTAGCTTCAAGACCTTATAGTTTAAACCTACAAAGACAATCCCAGTCTCACTGCTAGAGTTGACTGAAATGGAAAGGATCAAAGTCTTCTGGAGAAGAAAGTGCTTGCTTTCCTGGAAGAAGCTACTGGCAACCAATTCCTTTTCACTTGCTCTCACTCTATGATCATGGATAATGGAGCTCTAACACTAAGCCACTGGTAAGAATCCAGTGCTTGTAAGAAACCACCTAGGATCAAGTCACACTGCACACACAGCCATGGGGGTAACCCAAATGCTTAGAGCATCATGAAAGCAGTGATTCTGAGTCAGTAAAGGTCCTTATTGCTTGGACCACTCTTGAATTTTCCAGCAATTGCCCATGCAAGCACCCTAGAGCACGTGCATATCTCCTGAAACCATCTTATGCAAGACCGTTCCTGGTGAAGTTCCTGCCACTTAGTCGTTCTCTCTCGGTGATCAAGGGGACCCATATGCATTAAAGGCCCTGGATCAATACTTGGGCCATGTTAGACACTCGGTCTCAGCGGGCCGTGGATGGGTCAAGGGTTAGAAGTCTCAGTGCCTGGAAGATATTGTTACTGAGATCTCTATGACCTGCAACTCCAGTGAGTGATGGGTACATTATCAAAACATCAGACAAGCCACCATGGCTACGCACCAACTTCCACCATTCATAGGATTCAAATGAGGAGGGACAGTACAAACACTTACACTGCTAGAATGAGCACAGGACAATTTGCCTTTCGATCAAGATCAAGTCAATTCAATGGTGTTTCATACCAGAGTCATTGTTGCCAGAATCAGGCCTCACATTGCAGATGTGCAGAAAGGCTGATAAAGGATGCTGGTTACTAGACTGTGGTGTGGCAGTGGGCTCATAGTATTACTAAAAACACTGGAGATTCTGACCCCTAAATTTCTTGAAATAGAGACCACTGGGTTTCCCCTCCCTTTCTCTCTAAGTGGCCTAGTTCACAACTTGGCCTATTAAAAGATGAGGGAAAGAAGAAAGGAGGGACAGGAAGGACAGGGAGTGATGGAAATAGTGCAAGCACAATATCATACATGAAAAATACCAAAAATAAAAAAAATGTATTGTTGTTCTCATACAGAAGAATGAGAAGTCCTATTTCTCACTGTATGTAAAAATCAACTTTAAATTGATTCCTTGGTTAAAATTAGTATCTAATTAGAAGCTACTGCTGAAGAAATGTATCAAGAGATTTTTTTCCAGGATTATATTAATATTATACATAAGCAAAGTAACAGTTTAAATTGTAACAGTTACTTTAAAACAAACATTTTCTAAACAAAAAGTTCTCCAATTGATTAGAGAACCTCAAAACATGGAGAAAATACTTAAAGAGTTACAAATAATTTGCAACACCTAATCTGATTATGAGTTTAAAAGTGGACAATAATGGGGGGGGGAGTTCAATAACAAGAAGTAAGTAATCTAATGAAAAACGGGCCATATACCAAAGAAGGTGAATGTGAGGAGGTCTACTAGATGTCTAAAGAAGAAAGGCTCATGCGCTAAATCACTAATCCCCATAGACATGTGATTGCAACAAGGCTAGGGTAGGACCTCAAATTTTCCTGTAACTATTATGACAAAGACTGGAGATAAGACAGGCTAGTGAGAAAATAGCACCCTCAGACAATCTAAGTGGGATTGTAAGTAAGTGCTTATATGACACAGAATGCAGGGTCCTAAAGAAGGAAAATGAACAGTAGTGACCATGTGAGCTAGTCTCTCTCAAGGCTTATATCAATATAAGAAATCAGTTTTTCTAGAGAGGTCTGAACACCCATGCTCACCTTTCACAATGATTTTTAGCAGTCATGTCACTGAGCTTCCATGAATGAAAGAGGTGGTAAATAATAAGTTATCATGGATATACAGCTGAATCACGCTATGATTTTAAACAGAATTCACTTGTGTCATTTCAGATAACCTGTCTAGACATGGAGGATGTTCCTGAAATAAGTCAGTCAGATAGAGAAAAAATGTGTGATAGGATGTCAGATGGACTACAAAAATGCATTCAAGAGATCTTCTAGAATAAAAGGTTTCTATGGATAATTGCAATTTACATATACTATAATTAGAAATTATGAAATAGATTATAGTACCTGTTGGCACTAAAGTTTATATATGCATGGTGGTAGTGCCAGTGTTTATGCATATGGAAATTTATTCACTTCCTGCAGCCATTTTAATAAAACAAAAATATAAAACCAGAGTAAGCATAGCCCTGTAGGATAGGGCTCTCATGTGTCTGGACAGGGTCCTACCACCCCTCCCCCAATCCCATAGCCCATGGATAATGTGTCTCCTCCAACTTTGATTTGGTTGTTCTCAAGCAAACCTCTCTGCATGACTCAAAGAAAGGTGCAGGTCTTAACACATGGTCAATTCCCACAGCTATAAATGAGGACACTGGTGTGTCAACACAGATAAGAGAGACACTCAAGGACGGACACAAGTGATTAGGAGTGGTTTTACTTGTTGTTTACAAAATTACTTAAAGTGAAACAATAAATTCTGAAGATGACTTTTGGGTGCCTTTTGTGATCCCAGACAAGTAGTTATTTAGTAAAGAAACGTGACCATTGATTATAAGGTTGGGGTCAGCATGAAACAAAGGAACAACTAACTTCTATTTTCTCAGACATATATATTTTCATCATAGTCCCCCACTCTCCTAGCTTCTTTCCCTCTTCCTCCTGATGATCCTCTTATTCTTCCCAGTTAGTTACCATTCCACTTTAATATTTACTATTTGTTTTGGTGACTTGATGGTTTTAGTTAACGTTGATTACTGGGACATGTGTGAGGGAAGAATTTTTATAACTTTAAGTGTTATATTGTAGAGCATGTAGAGATTTTTAACATAACTGGCAGTAAAAATTACTTTTACTATAATAAGCACAATTTAATTTGCATTAAAAAACAACAAAATATTTTTCCTTGATATGAGGAAGAACATGTGAGAGCAAACCAGGATGGTGGTCGGAGGAGGCCACAGCACAGCAAGGTGTCCATCTTCATGTCTCCTCAAAATATCACATGATGGTGGTGACTATAGATGAGATTGAGCAGAGTCCTATGCCCCACATTCACAGTGTAATTTGCCTGTTATTCTTATCCATAATTCAAGTCTGTCCACTTTAATGTCCAAAGGCATGCAAGCAAAGAACACAGCAGGGCCGTTCTTGACAGAGGGTGCTGAACATGCCAGTCCTTCCCAGAACCTTGCAGGGGACATAGATTTAGTGACAAGTGAAGTCAAGGTAAGTGACTAGTCTGTATTTAAGCCACAAAATTCAGAGAATACATTTTCTGGTTATAAAAGGAGAAATGAGAGTTGTGGGTCATATCTGAGGCTGATGTGCTCGGTCCTTAGGGAGAAGAGGGGACATTTGGGAACTGTTAGATTTTAGGATCATACTGCCTGATTCTAATTACCTCTCCTTTCCTCCTAAATCCTAAGCGCTGTTGTATTTAGGGACTCTCAAGGGAACACAGCCCAGAGTCTCAGGAGAGAAACCTCAGCAGGCAGGATCCCTAGGCTTCCTCAGCATCTGATCTTGGTGAACACTACAGAGTCATTTCTTCCTTCGAGGATATCATCTGAAATTTTGTTTAAGTGGGGATATTTATTTAAAAAGAGAAATTAAAATAAACATTATTATTTTACAGTAATCACAGATTAGTACAGACCATAAGTCTAAAGAGTATCTATGAGAAACTGGTTAAATCAAACAGTGGCCAAAAGAGGAGCATTAAGTCTGACCTGCTCCTGAGGGCTGAGTTGAGCTCTGAATGTGCTGTGCTCCCCCTGCTGATCATGAGTACCCTCAAAGCGAATTTTGTGCATGGCCACACTGAATTCCCCTCACTGTGGGTCTCACACAGTAATACATGGCCGTGTCCTCAGATCTCAGACTGCTCATTTGCAGGGACACAGTGTTCTTCTCATTGTCTCTGAAGATGGTGAATAGGCCTTTCACAGAGTCTGCATAATATGTGCTTTCCACAAGCTCTAATTCGTGATCACTTAAAGCATACTCTGTACTTGCCACCCACTCCAGCCCCTTCCCTGGAGCCTGGCGGACCCAACTCATGCCATAGCCATTGATGGTGAATCCAGAGGCTATGCAGGAGAGTTTCAAGGACCCTCCAGGTTTCACCAAGCCTCCCCCAAACTCCACCAGCTGCACTTCACACAGAACACCTGCAAACACAGAGAATCCTGGTCAGGAACATGTCACTTATGTCCATAGCCTCCCTCATTCCTGCCCACTTCCACACTCAGCATCTCTTATTCTCCATAAATTACTTTGTAAAAGAGCAGCAAAGAAAACCCAGCTCAGTCCTAACTCCATGATGAGCTGTGTTCAGTGCTAATCACTGAATGGAAACACCTGGGATTTCAGGGTTGGGCTTCCCTGCCAGAGCTGCAGGGTCAGCACTGGGCTGTGCTTTATGAGCAGAGTGGGGTCATATTTGCATCTCTTCCTGTTTTTAGTGACCACTGGTGTGCCTGTTTAAGCGGGCAATTCTGGGAGCAGGTGTATGTGCTGTTCACAAGTTAACATTACACAACTGAATCCACAAACTCTGAAGCAGCTGTCAGAGATATGATGTATTCTACAATTCAGCAGTAGGAAAATTTAGCTTTTCTTTCTCACCACTGGGAAGCAGTGCCCCCCTAGTCCAGCTGCAGGAGATAGTGGAATACCCCAACTGAGGCACGGAATTCCCTTCAGTGAGAACATGGGGTAGTTGTCTTAGTCCAGCATTATTCTGAAGAAAGAAATAAGTAACCTGTTTATATGAAAACACATTCAGAAACCTGGGGTTGCTCCCATGCTGCCATCTTGTCTGTAGCTTAATCTCTACTCTTCTTCATCCACTGGCTTATTTTTGTCAGAATCATTGGGTCATATTTAACTTAAAATATTTTACCATCCAGACTTTGGGCATTCCTTGAAATATGTCTTCACCTATGAAGTCTTGACCATGTAAACATTGTCAAACCTTTGAAATTTTGATCCCTGAAAGCAGATCCTCCAAGGCATGTGATTGTGGAGAAGAAAATCTTGATTTCCACAGCTATTACCACATGAATTAAGAAGTCTTACCCAATGTTGCAGATAGACATGTTGTAGCAACTAGATAGCAATATCTTACGTCCACATACTTACAGATATATACAGTTGTCTCAAGGCAAAGGTCATGCTTGTAATGGACTTTGGGTAATATATAGTTTCCTATATACTACACTGCTTTAAACCCTGGTGCACAAACCTAAACTACTCCACTGAAGAACTTTCAGTCACCTGTCCCAATGTGTAATAGCTTATGTGTTTTAGGGAAAAATCTGATTGAGGTAGACCAACTGGGACCCAAGTCCAATTCTCAGTGTCATCCCTTCTACCATCATGGTCTTCTAGAGCCCTTAGTTTCTGGTCACATAAACAGAATACTTGTCCAGTGATGTGAATAGTTTCTTCTAGCAGCACTAGTACATCATAAACCAACTGTGAATGAATAGGGCCAGATCTGGAAAGAACAAATCCCACCTCTCAACAATGTATGTGCTTCAGTAGAATTAATGAAGTGGACTACATATTATCATCTAGTAGTTTTCCAAGTTTCTCACTTCAGGGATAGTTATTCCCATCATTCATCCATGGATCATTGTATAGAAGCCTTGTACACAGCAGGGTACTATGACTGACCATCAAGTTCCTTGGACTTCTTCAGGTACTACTATCAGACTCATCCTTTGAGGTTCCTGTTCTTG